TGCAAATTAAAATTTCTTTGAAAATAAAGATGAGTGATTAATGACAACACAGGTAATATTATTATATTTATATAAAAGAAAAAAAAAAAAAAAAGGGTTTTGAGTTAAGCCAAAGTCCCAACCCCAAGGCAAAACGACATGTCGTTTTCTGTATCCATCATCATCCGTGGTTTTGTCACGGCAGAAGCAGCCTCCAAATGAGAAATTCCAAGAAAACGACGTCGCTCCACATCCTTTTCACTTTCATTAATCTATTATAACCTTTTTTCTTCTTCTTTTTTTTCTTTTTCTTTTTTTTTAAAGGAAAAAAACAATTTCTGATGAGATTCCCAAATTAATGTCTCGTCTCGTCTCGTCTCATCTGTCTTTACCAGTGACCGTGAGAAGGGGGGGGAATTAATATTGTTTGATTTGACAAATCTCAAATCTGTCTAATTTTAATTGGAAATATTTCACTGTTAATTTTGTTTTAACGGCAGTTATATATATATACACACACACACCCCCAAATTGAATATTTTTAAACTAAATTGTGATTAATTATTAGCAGAGTAATTAAGCAAGTGTTTAGACATCACATGGGATTCTACCAATTTCAATTTCATCTTTCATCATGCCTCACTATTTTCACCTTTTCTTTTTAATAATACACACCATCCACTTTCTTGGATGTTTCCAACAACTCAAATATTTATATATATATGTGCATAATCTTATATTATAATATATTTAATTGGTAATATTTCACTACTCAGGGGTAAACAAAAATTATGAATATTCAAATGGTACCAAATTGAAGATCTAACTAAGGGTGAGAATTTGAACTTTAGACCGAACCATTTCAATTTTGATACAAATCAGATTGGCATTTTTGGGTACGATTTTGATTAAAATAAAAAATGAAATGAATTTTTTTAAAAAATTTATTATATTTTATTATTTTTAATCAAACTTGTCAACTAAAATTAGTTGGAGTATAAACTAAAAATGAATATATCATTAGTTTGAGAAGTTAGGTAAAATTAATGAAGTGGGCAAATTTACATGTTGGGGAATTTAAAAAAAAAAAAAAACACAAATGAATTTTTGAGTATAAAGAAAGAAGGAACCTAAGAATATTATTATAAGGATATAGATTAGTCATGTGAAACTGAGAAGCAATTAGGGGTTAAATTTAGGGACATGATTTGTTGTGGGTTAGGCAAATGTTTAAATTAATGGCAAATTTTGAGATGGAATTTAACATCAAACTAGTGATAATGCCAAGGCGGCTGGCACATAGGGACATCATTGTATGGTGGTGTCAAATCATTTGATCCCAGAAAGGAGCACATTTTATGTCTAACTGCCCCTATCTCTCTCTCTCTATATATATCTATATATATATATATATGTGCATGTATGTATGTATACATGTATATGCATTAATTGTTTTTTTATTTTACCAATAATTTTTTTAAAATAAATAAATAAATAAATAAAAAAGAAACCGCAAGAAGTGCACATGCCCTAAACTTTAAAGGTATTGATGAGGACCCAGTACCCTCCTCCATTGGCCTTGGTAGAGGAAAAAGCATCTCTACTTTTTATCAATTGCTTCTATTTTATCAACCATATTGGCTAAATAGAATTTTTATTGACAAAAAAAACTCTCTTGAATAAAACTAAAAATTAAATCTTTTGTTTATTATATTTGAGTCTGTGGATCCCAGAAATGAGAGCTTTTGTTGAATGATCATAAAAGGAAGTTCCTAGTGGTTGGCATATAAAATTGAGCTTTAAAAGGAAAGTGGCCAGGCTAGTGCTTCCAACAAACTTTGATTTTTACAAATGAATTTTTTCTAATATTCTCACCCAATTTGATTGGCACATAACAAATATGTATATTATTCCCCCGATACAACATGGTGTCTCTCAATTCAGGAATCATAATAAAATAAATAAATAAATAAAAGAAGATATGATTAAGACAAATGGTCCACTCCTCCTGATAGTTAAAGAAAAAGCAAGAAACGCATTTCCACAAACAGGTGGTGGGCAATTCATACAAGACAAATTTACTCATCCATCTCTCTACTTATATATTAAAATATAATCACGCATTTGTTCATCTCAAGAATCTGCAAATACCCATTAGATTGCTGGTGGTATAAATGTAAAATAATATATAAAGATTTGATTTTGGAGCATAATCATTCCTCTTTTATCTATACTAGTTGTGGTTTGTATAGCAGTGTGTTGTGTCTCCATTTTCCCTGATACATACTCCTCTGTGTATGCCACTAGGTTGAAGGAAAAAGAAAAGAAAATAATGAAAATGGGGGGGGAGGGGGGGGAGAAAAGAGAAAAGCAATTATGAAGAGGTAGAAAAAGAGTGAGGAGAGGAGTGGTGTCGATGGGTGTGGGAATCCATCTGTCTCTGCATTTATTTGCTACCTTTTTTGGTGGCAACATCTTTTTTCCATTTACTTTTTTTTTTTTTTTAGAAAAATTTAATTCCAAGTGAGTGCTTGAGGGAATTAAAGACCAATGTTAGATGGTCTAAAGACATAATGGGGGCTGACTGTTGCATCCCATTCAATTTTTTGGTCAATTACCCATTATACTGATTTCCCCATCATTTTCAACTTTTTAGTGAGGGAGGGAGAGAGAGAGGAAGGGGGACCATGTTTGGTTTGTGCTGGAGAATTTGGATCTCATTAATTTCACATCTTCCTTTATTCACTCACCCATTCTCTCCCTCTATATGTATATATTTATATATATATATACTTCAATTGGGATTTATATATATATATATATGTATGTGAATCACAATTGAAATGACTTAAATTAAATAGGTGGAAGATAAGATTTCTTTTTTCCTAATGCCAACAAATGGCAAAGTGAAAATTTGACACTCAAACAACAAATGGTAATGTCATTTGGCTATTTCTAAAGAAATTATATTTCTTTTTTGACATTTTAAAATGGTAAATAATTATTTAATTTGGTGGGGATTACATCATTGTAGGTAATTTGAAATATAGGCATTATAAACACTTTACCCTAATAATTATAATTATAATTATAAGAAATAGACTAACATTCTTCTTTTTTATTTTATTTTATTTATAAAAAAAAAAAGAAGCATGTGCAAAGTGTTTTGTGTATTGGACAGGGATATGAATTATGAGTTGTGGTTTATCACATTGGAAAAAAAAAAAAAAAAAGGAAAAAATTGTCACGAAAGGCTGAAGGAGATAAGATTTATATTATCTTGAGAATCAAGGTTCAAGATCTCTTCTTTTTTTTTTTTTTTCTTTTCTTTTCTTCAATTGAGGGTGGAAAAGAAAGTGTAAAGACATTAAAAAGAGAGATGCTTATGTTTCACAATTAAAAAAATATCATTACATAGTTGCCCTCCTCTCTCTAGTTATATATATTATATATATATATATATGGGTAGTATAATTAGAGGTGGAAAGTGTAATCTCCATTTAGGTAAGCTTTCATTTTGCTTTTTTAATGGTGTATGTGTGCTTTGCAATGTGAAGAAAATTAGGTACAATCTTCAATAATTGCTATAAAATTATGAAAGAATTTTATATAATCTTAAAAATAAATTTTTTTTTAAAAAAAAGGCATGGAGATGGTTTCAAATGCAATAATAATAAGGTTGCATCTCCCCCAATAAAGTAGACAAGACATATTGCTTTTATGCAATGTGATCTCTATCTCTTAAACTATTCCTCTTTATCAAATATTAATTATGAATTTTTATATTTGTTGAGAAAATTAATGGCTTATGGGCAGGCAGTACCGAATGAAACTTACCAGAAACACTGATTTAAATTGCCTATGGCCCTCCCCAACTCCTCTCATATACTCTTTCTTAAATTATATTTAATTAGTAAAAATTATTTGATATTTTTTCCAAATAAATATATTCTACAAACGAACTATTGAACCTTGTGTTTGTCAATGCAAATAATAATAATGGAAGGCTGCTGCTTTTAAAATCAAAACCCATTCAATGCATTTTTATCTTCTGAATCTCATACATTTGATTTGATTAATAATTAAAAATTGAAAATAAATAAATAAATAAAAATAAAACGCACCGAATCATTGTATGCCTGGTTGTCCGTACAGAGATACACTTGGCGTTACCAATTAAAGCGGGGGACAGACAAGGTAGCAAAATGGGAAACCTCAGATGGGCCCCACCCACCCCCAAATCCAGACGACGTGGGCATCTCCTCTATTCACTTATTTTATTTTCTTTTTCTTTTTTCCAAAAAAGGCCAAAAGACCCGACTATCCTCGGTCCATCACCCCACTCCCACCACGAGTCACACGTGGGACAAGTGGGCCCCCACCATAAAATTAATTAATTAATTAATAATAAATAATAAATTTGGGGGGAGGGGGGGTAGGGAAGTAAGTAATTACCACTGCTCCCCTGCCACTGGTAGGTTAGAAGATGCTCAATTTTATGTGTTTAGAAATTAAATTGCTGGGTATCTGCTTACGTGGCACGTGTCTACACGTGGCAGATTTTTCCCACGTCACCAACCGTCAGATACATACAAAACTCTGTCCCGTGACTGACAAGTCTAGGAGAGGAGGCCGCCTTTTACTGACTTTCAACGTCGAAATTCTCTAAATACCCTTCTAGTTTTTTACTTGGGGAAACGAAAGCTTTAAAACTGGGGGGGCGTATTTACTTACTTGTGTGCCAAAAAAGTAGAAGAAAAATAAGAGATTAAAAGCGAATCTAGGAACAAAATCTACCAACTATTAATATATATATATATATATTTTTTTTTACTAATTTGTGTGGACAGGACATTATATATATTTGTAATCATAATCAATTTAAAACTCATCAGTAAAGCAGGATTTTTTTTTTTTTTTGGTTTCAATCTTTCTCTCTCTGTAATATAAATCTTCTTTGACTTTTCTCTCTCTAGTAAAAAATATATATAAAAAATAAAGCTATATAGAGTAGCATCCGGAGTGCTGCCACCTCTATTTTGCATGCCCTTTTTGGTCCTCATCATCATCATCTCTTGCCCCTCACCTCTCCCCTTCTTCCTCTCCCTCTATAACCCAACAACAACAACAACAACAGAACAAACCCCGGCTCAAGAAATCCACATCGTCTTCCATGGCGGTTGAGGCTGGCCACATGAATATCTTCGCTCCTCAGTTTCTCGCTAATAGGTATATACATCACCGTCTCTCAAATCACTCTCTTTTTTCCCTGATACCCGTCATGTATTCGAGTCTTTTTTCTTAATTTTTTAAAAATGTTTTGCAGAGATTTCATCAAGACGAATCAAGGAAACAGCAACGTGTACAATGCCCAGATGAATAATGGGATTGCTTTACCCAATACTGCAATGCCTGAACAACTCCCCCTCTACCAAGCACTTCTTTGTGATCCCAATTCGGCTAAGGCCTCCATGAACAACAAAGCTGATAGCGGTCTCACCTACAATATTCCTGCGCCGAAGAAGAGGCCGAGAGATTCTGTTGATGATTTCGATGCTCTCGCTGCCTCTCAGAAACACAAAATCTCTCCCTTCTCATCCATTATCGACCAAAATGTAATCTTCCAGATCCAACAACAGCAATCAGAAATTGACCGCTTCATTGCCGAACACGTAATCATTCATTCCTTTCTTCTCATTAGTTATGTTGTTCGATGCTTTTTTTTCTTTTTGATTTTTCCCCGATTCTCCCTTTTCCCCTTTCCCCTGCTGGTGGATTTTCCTGATTGGGGTTGGTGTTATGTGAAATTTGACAGACTGAGAAAGTGAGAATCGAACTCGAAGAGAGAAGAAAGAGACAATCAAGACTGCTGATAGCCGCAATCCAAGAAGGGGTAATCAAGAAACTCAAGGAAAAAGACGAGGAGATTCAGAGGATGGGAAAACTGAACTGGGTTCTTCAAGAAAGGGTCAAGAGTTTATACGTCGAAAATCAAATCTGGAGAGATTTAGCCCAGACAAATGAAGCCACCGCCAACTCCTTGCGCACGAACCTGGAGCAAGTCCTCGCGCACGTATCCGACGACCGTCACGCCACCGGCGGCAAAGACCTGGCAGACGACGCGGAATCGAACTGTGGAAGCTGCAATCCGGCGGAGGAATCGGAGAGAGGAGAAGAAGCAGAAGGGAGAAATGGTGGTGGGAATCGGATGTGCAGAAAGTGTGGGGAGAGAGAATCGAGTGTGTTGTTGCTGCCATGCAGGCATCTGTGTCTGTGTACGGTTTGTGGGTCAAGTCTGCTACGCGCTTGCCCAGTGTGTAATTCCGCCATGAACGCAAGTGTACATGTTAACATGTCGTAATTTTCTTTATAATTTTTAGTTAATTGAAAAAAGATTAAGAGAAAAAAAAAAAGGGGAGGAAAATACATAAAAAAAAATTTGTTTTTGGAGAGATAGGAAATACAGTTCAAAATTCTTTTTAGTGTCTCTACATAATTAGCGCGTTTGATTGATTTCTTTATTTTGTTGGTATTCCAATTTGAATGCTTCTCTCTCTCTCTCTATAAAAAAATCTCAGACGCACGTTAGAAAAGAAAATAAAAAATAAATAAAAAAAAAAAAGAAAATAAAACGGGGGAGCGTGGGAGCGTTAAGAAGGAGCACGTGGCAAGTGGGCCACGTCAGGGTCACAGACATAAAGAGCGGGGACCACCACGTGAGTAGGACAGAGTCAGGTGTACTCCAATTAATTAATTTTCTTATTTGTAAAAAGTAATTAAATATTAGTGGATAAGGTTTATTCAAGTACTTTGGATTCTTTTTATTTGATAAAAAATAGTAGTATTTTGGGTGAGTTTTGAATTTTGAAATAAAAAATAAAATAAAATAAAATAAATAAAGAGGACCCTTGAAACACGGCGAGTACCTGCGCCAGAAAACGTACGTTGGTGGCTACCCATCTGTAATTTAGTGCAAAAATTGGAGGGGTGCAAAGGCGACAAATATTTCAGTTTTATGAGTTATGGTAACGCACAAACTTTACTTTTCCCAAAATTAATACATTTTTTTTTTTTTAATTATTATTTTTAATTAAATACGGACAAAAGGGGTCCACGTGAAAAGGTTGTTGCTTTTTGCTATCGACACGTTTACTCCACTCCCCATCTCACTTTTTACCTTGTGTACTTTTAATGTAATTACACCATACCCTTTTCACCTTTTACCCGATCAAACCTCTGTAAATTTCCATATTACTTACTTGTTAATAATTTTATTATTTATTTAATATAATATTAATTTCCCATGATACATTTTCAATCTTTTTTTTTTTTTTTTAAAATAAAACTCTAGACATAAATTACCTCAATAGAACTAAATATGGTTTTAGGGATTATGTGTGCGCTCCACAAATTATGCAGACGACATGTGCTTTACCAAGTACATTTGATGCATGCTAGAATGGTGGTAGGCTCTGTTTTCATTCCTTTGCTTGTTTTGTTTAGGCTCTTGCTAATATTCCACAACTTGTGATTGGGTTTGGCTGACATATATAAAAAATTTCATGCCAAAGTCTAGTAATCCAATCCAATCAAAGACAACACTCTGTTATTTATAACAAGCATATGTAATTATTAGACTTTAAAATATTATCAAAATCAATGTTTCAATTAAAAGATGCGTGGATCAAAAAGTAAGCATTCGATTAAAGAAACTTTGGGTTAAGTATTTATAATTAAATGTCTCTCGTACGTGTGATGAACGTGCACGCATAAGAAGCAAGAGAATAAAGATTATATAATAAATAAATTTAAAAAAAGGAAAGTAACGTCTGATTAAATGGGACCCACTGGTTTGTTGTCCCTCTGTGACCGGCATCTCATCAATCTCCCATCTCCCCAGAACTCTCGTTCACATT